GGAACTTCTTATGACCTGGTCCAAGATCTGTTGAACGAGCAAAGCAGAAGTAACTGGTCCGCTCCCTTGATTCAATAATTCACACAAAGAGTATTTATCTCTTTCCTATTGATCAGTGAATGCTGATAAAAAGGGTTGAGGGAGTGTTGTATCAACATTGCTCTATTGTAGCATTGATGGTAATCCGCGAAAAAAGTACCCATTTTGGTACGTCAGCCCCTCTTTCTCGTTTTCTGGGCAAGGCCCGGCTCCTTCTGTTCGTACCGAGCTATTATCCAACACTTGAAGTGCATCGAGCAGTTTTGTCACAATTTTCTTCCCCTACCGTCACTCTACCTCTGAGTTCCCTACTCTGACATTTTAAAGTTGGCAAGAAAATTAACCTCTATTTTAATATTACATTTTCATCGATATTAATAAGCTGCATAATGCCTGAAGTTTTCGTTGATCTGAGCTGCAATAGATATCAGTTTTGCTTGACTGGGTCTGGTGAATATTAATTCTGGCCTCATTTCCTTCCTTGATTCGTAAGCTTTGCGACCCGTCATTATTCATCGCTGGAGGATTTTGGTTGTGTCTTATAAAACTTATCTGATCCCCCTGTGGCCCTGTAGCATTCTAATGATCCCCCCTCATTTGCAATCAATTTTCAAAAGTCCCTCATTATGTTCTGTTAGCGACGACTGACTCCCATCTTTTCCCCCTGAAAACTATGTGATTCCCCCCAAAATCCTCCAGCCTCCAGCCCAGCCCCCCCCCCGGGCGACAAACGATGACTGATCCTTCACCTGGATAAACAAAGACCCTGGTTCTCTGTTGGGTTGATCAGCTGGATATGTAGAAGTCACACAAATAAGCAGAAAGTCGGCTTCTTCGGGGCAGCTGTCTTTCTCACTGGCGGAGATGCAAGGCAACCTAACGGCATCCTTTTCTGCAAAGCTTCCGCTTGCGAAGATTGAGCACTCATTGTCGACCCTTGAAGGTATCCCTTTAACACGCTGAACAAAAAATAACTTGGGTTTACCCCGGAGGGAGGGACACCTTGATGCTGTGAACTCCACCATAACATGCTCAAGGCTTGCGTTTCTACCATCAGGACAAGATATTTCACTGCACCGGCCAGAAAAAGACAGGAAAATAACAACAAATGTGTCAAAGTAAGTATGATCTTTCTTTGCAAATTCCTTAGCTAAATTGTAGATCTCGTCCCTTTGAAGATCTCTTTCAATTAGCACATCAAAGGAAAGGAACTTAAACAAGCCCTTGAGCTGCTCTTCTCCCACCGCTAAATTTCGAACGTTGTTTATCAGAAGGCAAAGTCCACGCGGACGAGATGTGTGCATCACGTAGTGGTGGCTCAGCCACGGTGTTTCCGCTAAAAATATAAGAGTAAACCAAATCAAACAAATTTGTGATTTTACTTTCATGGGGGCTAACCTTGATTCCTGCCTGTCAGGCCACAGTAACTCATTTCAGTAAACCGGGGCTTTTACATGCTGACGATCAACAAGTATAAAAACCATAGGGCCTATCAACAACTTAACCGAGATACGGGGTCCTGGAAAGTAGTAGGTCTGAAAACTGCATTGTTACATTCATACCTTATCTTCCTGCTGATGGAACTACATTCGCCTCGTGTTCTTTACGGGCGTGCGCAAAATATCTGATGGCAATACTGGCCATAACAATAGTTTGATGGAGACAAGACTATTAGCTAGTGGGCAGGGGATTAACATTCTATTTACAGGGGAGTGGGGTGGATCTGAAACTGCAGTGTAAGAGCGCGCTGCGGTTTTTATCGGGCAATACGAAGCAGAAAAAACGCCGAGTCATCCTGGTTCTCAAAAATCCTGCAGATATATACATATACACATGTAAATGTTTGTATGTGTTCCAGTGCGTACGCGTATCCATATACGCATACACATTGTTCTCATCGACATACCTGGTCCCTGGCAAAGTAGTATTGCTTCGGGGTCCGGGACAACCCTACAAAGCGCTAATAAAAAAATAAAAAAAATAATTAAAAAAAAAGCAACAATAACATTAACAACAAACATGTGAAGAGACATTAATCTTCTAACACTGATCCTATATTGGCGAGTATAAGTTGTCCAGCACATAATAATTGTGTGCGTGTTGCGAATTTAATGAGTTGAAATAGACAACCTTTTTTTCACCAGCCCTATCACTGCTATGAGTGATCAAGACCGACTATCTCCATACAATAGCAATCTAAAAGCAAGGAGACAAGTAATAAAGAAAAATTTCAATTAAGGGATGACTGGTTGATCCAATACCAAATTCTTCGAACTAACACCATAAGAACTGTATAGCAGACAGTGAGGAAAATTACTAATGAGATCTTGGGAGTGAAAGAGTTAACTACTCCAACACTGATGTTGAAACTGGCACATCCTTTCATCCATGAACGTGCGCAACTAAGTCAGATTGGGCACACGCAGTTCGCCGCGCAAGTGCCTCTACGATCGGAGCTAGTTCTTGTCAGCATTTTTGCAATGTTTATGCATTTTCTGAGTAACTTTTAAGATTTCACAGGTTTTATTTATAAATTTAAAGTGAACTCCACCCTGAAAGATAAAGGCGACCCGGCAGTCTTATGACCCTCTCCCCCCTCCCCCTCCCAAAAAACAGGCGTCCAGACAACGCATAAATTTTACGCAGTATGAATAACTGTCGTTTTTAGCAAAACCCACTCAGGACGCACACTTTATGAGGAAGGTCCTCTGATGGAATGGGGCGCATAACTGGACAAACTTGTGCTTGTTTCTTGATGCACTACACGTTATGCATTTATTCATATAATTCTTAAACGCACTTATTAAAGCCAAACGCACTTCATGGGCTGGACGACTTCCATGTTTAACTGTTGCAAAATGGAAACAAATCTGTGGGACAAGTGTACCAAACAGAGCTGAGTAAATGGCAACTGACCTATAAGTACTCTTGTTTACCTGCATGCATTGCTTGCGCTATTCTCTCCACGGGGAGGCAACCTAGAGCTGAATTTCCAGTGTCTTCCACATCTGTTGGCTCTTGCTGTACTGGTGTTATAGCGATTGGAAGTCTTGGATCAAAGTAAGCTAGAAAACATTAAAAGAACACGATCCTAAAAAACCAGGTTAGTATTTCTTTCGGACTGAGGTTCTTTTTCGTTTGTTGGATATATGGTTGTTGTTCATTTTCCTGGCTCCAATACTTATTTCGAATGTTTTGCCTTATAGTTCGTATTATTTCTTTTCTTTTCTTTTCTTTATTTTTTTTTTATTTTTTTTTTTTGGTTTTGGTTAAAACACGTTGTAACACTAGTAGCTATTCAAGTTTCTATTGCTTAAAATTTCCCACTTTTTTAACATAAAAACTGAAGAAATAATCCTACAACATTACTCATTAAAAAAAAGTTTATCTAACCCTATCTACCCCCCTAATAATTTTTAACGTTGTTGAAAGTTATTTTTCGTGGGTAAAAATATTTTCCTCTAACATCCGCTGACTGAGATAGAGGAAGTCTGAGATGTCTTTGGTTACCCAGCACTTCTTCATAACAGTATGATCACGTGGCCTTTACCTAGATCTTCTTCCGGAACCAGTGTGACTTGAATTTTACTTCCACTTCCGGTGGAACTCAAGCGAATGTAACCATACCAGAAGTCTGGTTCACTTCGGCTAAAACTGACCCATCCTTCCTCTCCATTGATATCAAAGTGGACGCGGTTGCTCTTTAAGTCACGGTAAATGCACAAGACACTTCCGTTTCTGATGTCTCTGTTGTAGAAATGTGTTATTTGCGAAGAAGCAGCAAAACTTGTCTTAGAGTCGAATGTTTTCTTAAAGATTTGCTTCTGTTGGCTGCTCCATCCCCTGAAGATAAGAAAATTAAAGGTCATTAGATGAATTCACAGTATGATCGTTCAATGATTTCGTAAATTCATCTGTGAGAGATGAATACACTGGAAGAAAAACAAAAAAAAGGTACAAGTTTCCTTATTTGGTAAAAAATGCTATCGAGTGGGGGAAGGAAATCACTTTATGCTTAGAGTTAGCAAAAATTTCTGTACTCGTGCCGCCAGTCCAGTCCAACTGTAAAAGCGCTGTTGAAGGGGTCCTTAATAACGATCAATCGTGAATCTGATAGTTAAAATGGTTTCTGACGATCCCAGACAATGTAGTTGATTGACACATACAGTACGTTAGATGTAATTTCAATATTTCTTTTCAACATTGTTCGAATTTAACTGACTTCTCATGGAGCCAAAAAACTTTAACCGCTGTAACTTTGTTTTGACTAACGAGCCGGGTGAAATTTCCCGGGAAAACGATCCTCTGACCTCATTTTACTTAATTTGATCTTGTATCTCGGGCGGTACCGGATCGATCTGTTTTCATCAAGGCTTCGATTGACGGACCTACCACCCATTTGCTGGAAAGAGGCGATCGTTAGATTGTCTGAATTCATCGCAACGCCTGTGCCTCTCTTTTTATTACTCACTTTCGCCCCATGCCTCCTTCATGGTTCCATCACTCGGCCCAAGCTTCCCCCGCTTTGTTACAAGGAGACGGATAAGGGTGCAGGGCAACCTTAGCTAATATAAGTGGACGTGATAATTACCACAGTTTTCCAGTCAGTCGAAGATGTTCTCCATTCTGAACACCCAACATCTGCAGTTTCCTAAAGAATTATAAGGAAATTCTACTCCAGCAAAGCGCATTCAAATTATAAACTCAGACGTTAGCAAAGCACCTTTCAAAATGTATAAAATAACATCAAAAGCTTGTTGTGAAATAAATTAGACAAAAGAGCGCTATTTCAGCTCTTTCTGCGTGGCATAACACGTACACAAA